ATTATGAATTTGGTCCATAAGAGAAAAGGAATCAGCCAACTTAAACTCAAAATATTTCTTAATGAGAAACTTATCTGTGCCTTGCTTTTGGGTTGTATACTCTCGCTCAATTGCAGCCCAGATTTCCCTTGGATTTCGTACTCCTTGGAACATATCGTAGTAACTATCCGAGAGGGTGTTGAGAATGTGGCCTCGGCAAATGATCTCGTCCTCTTCACGCTTTTGCCTTTGATTTGTCACTTCCTCAGACTCACCCTCCGCAGGAGCAAGAATTTTTGGAAGATTCGAATTGAGTATGTAAGCCACCTTCAATGCAGTGAGGAAGAACATAAGTTTGTCCTTCCAACGGTTGAAGTTGGTTCTGGTTCCATCAAGTTTGTCCAACTTAACGAAATCTTGGTTCATGACTTTGATGGCACTCTCTTGGGCAAACTCCATTCTTGTCAATCAATCAAACTTCAAGATTGTAAGAAAAATGATATAAAAGTACAAGAGTGTGTTGAGTCAAACCAGAAAATTCAAGAGAGGATTCTGTAGAAATAAGTTTACACAAATGGGGATCAAGACTTGATGAATTCAAGGCGTGTAATCACTTTCCTTGAAGTTTGATTGCCCCCACTATCTTGCTAATCCGGTATCTGGGCAAAAACTCTAGGATACAATGAATTCTAATTAGACAACCAAGTAGCAAGTTCTTGGATTTGTCTAGTCAAGAATAAAAATGTTTAAGTTAGTTTTCTGGTATTCAACACATTGATTTATACACCCACAACACTTAGAAAACTATTAGAAACTGTTCACATGTAATCTTTCAAAGGAACATGCAGTTTCACTGTGAAAAGGTGCTTCAAAAGGTGCAAACCTTTCCTATTTTGCAAACTACCTTAACATTAGTAATATAAGAAGTCAAGTTATAGCAGGAAAAAGAATGAAAGAAAAGAATAAGAAGAAGCATATTTCTTAGTAGGATCAATATCAACATCTCCTCACATAACAACTAACAAATAATTGGAAAACTTTGTTAACTTATTCAAATTATTTCGGTAGCCAAAGAATGACAGTATAGTATTTAAGCAATTAACAATTAGTTGCAAAAGATTAGCCAAGGAAGGATGATTTTCTTATGTAGAAACAAAGTCGTTGTTAATCTAAAAAAAGAAACGGTAATCAAATGCAACATGTTAGTAAAAAATACAAAGCTAATAACTTAAACAGGTGGCCATTAAACATAAACTATTAAGGATAATAGGTGAAAAAAATTAAATATGCAAATAACGATTAAGTAGAAAGGAATGACAATTGAACATTAATTGTTGGACACCCTTAAAAAAAACCTAATTTTTTAATATAACTTTTTGCGAAGAATTGATGATTACGTGTTTGGCACTTGAGTTTTTTGCCAAGTTTGTCTGCAACAAGTTTTTAAAAAAATTTTAGCTACAGTAACCTCAAAAAACTTCTCAAAGTTTTTAAACTATACATTTTAAAATATTCAAAAATTTGCACACTTCAAAAAATTTTTAAAAACTTCTATAATAAGTTACAATAAAGTTTTACACAAACACCCAAAAAACTCACTTGCCAAATGGGCCCTATTTTGTTAGACAACAGCAACAAAAAGGTAATTTAATTTTGAGGAGATTTCAAGGAGTAAATATTGAATGTAATTCAATGGGCAATCGAAAAAAAACATTAATCACGGACAAATGAATAAAAAAAAAATTGGCCTCTCAAAATTTGATAATAATAATTAAATGTCTCCCCCCTCATTTTGCAAAGAAAGAAAAAACCATTTTTTTAGAGTGATGCGCCATTTTCAAATAGCTGATAATTAGACATAAAAATTTAGAAAATAAAGTAACAAAAAATATTTAATAAATCAGCAATTGAAATCAATCGCAAACATTGGCATTCCCCAATAAACTAGATATGTTAATAAACATGTCACCAATTTTGTAAAGAAATGGTGTCGTATATTTATAATGAGTTTTAGTCACATTCATCTCCGAATTTTAATCATACAGTTTGGGATTTGTATTGGAATTTACCAGACATTGAGCTTTGCTTGCAGCGTTTGGTATAGCTCATGGAAGCTTGGTAATTGGACAAAATTACTTTGTTGTCCTTTGTTGGATTTAACTACACTTAACGATGTTGCAGGGTTAAATGAAAAATTAATCTTTGGCTATGGTTATTTACCTTTATACCTTTAGTAATATCTATGGACTGCAATTTAAAACTAATTTTGCGCATTTAATTTAATTAGTGTATTCAATGTCTAAGCTTGCATCTATTGGATTTTTATTCAGAATTGCCTCACCTTCATTTTTCTTATAATTTATTCGTTGCTATAGTTGTTTACTTTTATGCCTTCAGTGCTGCCTATGGACTAAGTTTAAAAGTAATTTATTTTCAAAAAAAAAATAAAAGTAATTTTGCATATTTAAATAATGTATACATTGTTAAGCATTTGTTAGAATTTTTGTTTAGAATTGGCTTACCTTCCTTTTTCTTCCGATACTAATATTCAACCATGTGATTGATTGATCTTTCTTCTTTGTCCATTTTGTATTTTTTCTTATTTGCTATTTTCTCTTATTACCTCTTTGGTTCTAGTATTGATCGATTTTAGTTTTTTTTTTTTTAAAGTAGCTGTAGTCGCTTATTGGGATTGAGGTAAATCCTTTGAGATTTTTGGCTTGGGCTTATCTATTCTTGAATTAAAATTTTTAAAACTCAATATGGAGGTAGATTAATCAAAGAGGTTGTGGACACATACCTATACGACTAAGAGTACAATAGAAAGTTCAAAAAGTTACAATTGTATTTAACACCATACAATAATGCTCCGTTATATAATTTGTATAGACTAGTAATTAATGCACACCCAACGCATGTGTATGAAATGTTTAAAATAGTACAATTTTCGAAATCATTTTTATGAGAATTAATTTTATATTTTGATAAATATATATAGAAAATGAATAAAGTGCGCTTATTTGTAGTGGATACTTCTTTATTTAATGCATAATGAAAAGGAAAAAAAAATAAAAGTAAGCTCATAAAGTGAAATTCAACAGATAAAATTTTCAACATAAATTCCTTTTCTTTTGAATGAGGGGCATGCGCTTAATAACAAATATATATTAAAAATAAAGATAATAGCAAATTGTGATAACAAATAGATATTACAAAATAACAGCAAATAGTAAATTGTGCACCCTCATGTGAGAAGTGAAACTTTTTTTCAATCTAATCTGACTTGGATTTCTTTTCATCTAATTCGATTGGTGGACCGAGAGCACAGACGATTGTTAGTGACAATCATCCGAAATAGTGTAAAGCTTTTTGACCGGGTTGTAATTCGTATTAAACACATCGTATATCTTTACAACAGATGTGTACTATTCTATTACTGTTCATGTGAGTCCCATACATGAATGTACAAACAGTTCAATTTGAATTACAACCCGTTCAAAAATACTTATCATGTTCTAGATGGTTGTCAGTGACAACCGTCGGTGCCCCTACTATTCGACGGGGCTAGTTGGGCGCTTTTTCTAATATAATGTTGTTGTTGAAAAACAAAGTAAAAACGAGCAATATAATTTGAAGTTAAAATAAAGAATTCAAATTATTGTGGGGTCGCTTTCCTTGAGTTTGAGAACTGCGTGCATCCTCTCATCGAGAACTATAAACGAATCGAGCCCTTAGTGAACCATTCGAGCTCGAATCATTAATGAATCGAATCAAGTTCAATTTTGAACAAGTTCGAACTCAATTTAAAATTAGTACATGAATTTTATTAAGTATCAAATCAAAAACTTGTACCACATTCGGCTCGTTAACGCTCGATTTGACTTGAATAAATTTTTATATTTTTATTTTATATAATAAATATTTTATACATAATAACATATTTATTTTTTTTTTGGAAAAATAACTTGTTTTATCTCTCATATTTCATAAAAATATTCTTTTCATCTTTCACATTTAAAATGAAGCAAATTGGTCATTCACATTTAAAAACCCAAGCTTTTACATCCTAGAAATAAACTCTCAGTTGTGAATCAAACCATCTAACAATCCGATTACAAATTTTGTAGGTAGAATTGGTATATCACTTGCATTGTGAATCAAACTATCTAACAATTTGGTTACAAATTTTGGGGGTAGAATTGATAGATCACTTGCAAAACACATATTTTTAAGGGTTTAGTGCTTGAGAGCTTTAGCACTATTTCGTTCTTTTGAAGAAACAAATGTGTTTTAATTAAGATTTTTTAATTGCTTTAATTTATTTGTTAGAAATATGTTTTTGCGAGTGATCTATCAATTCTACCCTCAAAATTTGTAACCGGATTGTTAAATAGTTTGATTCACAACTGAGAGTTTATTTCTAAAATATAAAAGTTTGGGTTTTTAAATATGAAGGACCAATTTGCTTCGTTTTAAATGTGAGGGACAAAAAGAACATTTTTACAAAATGTGATGGATGAAACATGTTATTTTCTCTATTTATTTTATAGATATTATATATTTGTTATTGATAAACCAATATTAAAATATATTTTGAACTCTCGAATCAAACTAGAAACTACTTAATATTAAATCGAATCCAGTTTGAACTTAAACTTTAAACTCGAATTGGAATTCAAGTTCAAAACTCCAAATTGCGCTGGACAGTTTCAAAATTGAATGAGTTTGTTTGGATAAGAATTTATTTGGATGATTTATTTGATCTAGTTACTGTAGTACTTTTTGTAATGTGATGTATGTGAGATAAAAAGGTGATTGGGAATTGTGTGTATGATGCAAGCAAAACAAAATCTGAAATAAATCTTGCAAATTTTCTTTGTCCAAACAAACCCAACGATTATTCGGTTCGTTTGTGGCCATACTCCTAGACAAAACAGCCGTTAAAATTTGGTATGGGCCCAGCCGGAAACCCTTTTGATTGGGTCATAATAATCCGAAATTGACGACGTTGTATTCAGAAAGCTTCCCACTGTGCCTGATCAGTAAACAGGTCATTTCAGACTTGGAGAGTTGGAGTGGCGATGAAGAGAAGAGCGGCTTCATTAGGTACTGCTGCTGCTGCTAATTGTACTACTCTCGCTTCATTTCTCTCTGCATTTCCAAGCCCTAAACCCCAATTAGCTTTCTGTTCAGCTATAGCAACTAGTAGTGATAAAATTAGAAATCATCAGCACCAAATTGGAACGTCTTCTGGTAATGTTTTGCAATTTCTTTCTGGGTTGAAGGGTAGGATTGATAGTATTGACAATCTTGATGATGCTCTTAGCTTATACCAGCAGATGGTCCGGATGAGGCCTCTTCCCTATGTTTTTTATTTCAATCGACTGGTGGACCGCATTGTTAAGATGAAGAAGCATTATTCATCTGCTGTCTCAGTTTTCAGAGATATGTACGTCAGGGGCATTCCTCTTAGTGACTACACCCTCAATGTTGTGATTAATTGTTACAGCCTCATGGGTCGAGTGGATTTGGGGTTTTCTGTATTGGGTGTCTTCTTCAAGCGTGGTATTCTGCCCGACATAGTCACCTTTAGTACTCTACTTAAAGGACTATTTCGGGAACATAAGGTTCTCCAAGCACAAGAATTGTTTAAGAGGATAATTTTCGAAAAGCTTTGCGAGCCCAATGAAGTTATGTTTCTGATTGTGATAGATGGGCTCTGTAAGGTGGGCAACACTCAAAAGGCTGTTGAATTCCTAAGAGTCATGGAAAAAAGAAGAAGATGTAAGCTCAATGTTAATGTGTACAATACTATCATTGACAGCTTTTGCAAAGATAAAATGGTCGGTGAAGCTTTTGCCCTTTTGCAGGAGATGATTGAAAAGGGCATTCCCCCAGATGTTGTCACTTATAATTGTTTGATTGGTGGTCAATGCAATTTAAATAGATGGAAAGACGTTACAAAGCTCTTTTCTGAGATGAAGGATTACAAAATTACTCCAGATGTTGTTACTTTCAATATAGTGGTGGATGCACTGTGTAAGGAAGGACATATCGAAATTGCTGAAGAGGTAGTCGGCATCATGATTAGGCAAGGTCACAATCCCAATCTGGTCACATACAGTTCCTTAATGGATGGATACTGTTTAAAGCGCCGAATAGATGAAGCAAGGAGGGTCTTTGAAGCCATGGTTATTAGCGGCCTTACTCCTGACCTCCATAGCTATGGTATTCTGATAAATGGCTATTGCAAGCACAAGAAAGTGGAAGCAGCCATGAATATCTTTCGTGAGATTCAGCATAAAGGTTTAACACCTAATATTGTTGTTTATAACATTGTCTTGCAGGGGTTATATAGCGTAGGAAGCTATCTTAGTGCAAGAGAAGTTTTCGATGAGATGCAAACTGCTGGCATAAAGCCTAATTTTTACACTTTCTGTTTGATGTTGGATGGATTATGCAAGACTGGACATGTCGACGAAGCATTGCAGTTATTCCATTCAATGGAAGCTGATGGAATCGATCATCATATAGGCATGTACAGTATCATCCTTGATGGTTTGTGCAAAAGTGGGAGGCTAGATAGTGCTCTTGATCTTTTTGACAATCTCAATGATAAAGGATTGGATCCTAATGTCCCAACATACACCACAATGATTGCTGGCCTGCTTTCACACGGCCTGCTCACCGAAGCTAAAGAGCTTTTTGGAAAAATGGAAGAAAATGGTTGCCTGGCAGATAGCGTTACATTCAATGTTATTCTGCAACAACTCCTTAAAGGAGGCCATTATGATGATGCAATAGTCTACCATGAAGAAATGGTTCGTAGAGGTTTCTTGCTAGATGCATCTACTTTTTCCATTTTACTTGATTCATCTACTGAAAACCAGAAAAATCCTTCTCTACTTATGTTGATGCTGAAGATTGGTCCTGATAGCAAGAAGTTTATGGATGGGGGGTAAAGAGGACCTTCACATTGGTTGCAACTTTTGGTCCTACTGGTTTTTGGCCCCTAAACTTTAACTAACATTATATAGGTTTGCTTTTGATTCTGTTTTAACTTATCATCTTTATGGAATATAAGAAGTGTTGCAGCTGAGCCTTGAGTAGCTCTCTTGGTCATATTTTGTGAAATGCCTCAAAGCTCTTCAGTCCAGGTGGAAAAAGCTGTGGTCTTTAAGGGAAGTTCAATTTATAACTGTACTGGTGTAGCAGTTCACAGAAGCCTGCTGGTGTTAATTGGATATGTACAGCTTCTTCAGAGAGACTTCTTGCTTATCCTTTCTTAGAGAACTTCAGCGTAGCATATCACTTAAAAGGTAACTTGTACGGCTCCTTTTCTTTGTGTTTCATGGGTTTTAGTACTTTTTGCTTGCATGTAACTTTAGTTTGGATAACTAATAGCTGAATTCATTGGAATTAAGAATGAAACTTCATCTGAAAATATAATTTTTTTATCTGGATTTATAGAAAGGTTTAGTTACAAGCTGCATTTTTAATAATTTGGAGGAAGTTTTTTCTTGTAAGCAGAATAAATTTGTTACCTTTTTTCAATTCCTAAATGTAGCCAAAGGTGCAGCCAGTTTAAACGTGTAAAAAATTTTTGCACCAGTATCTTGGTTTGGGTTAAAATTTTGAGGTCCCATGGATGGTCATGGCTGTTGACTTCTGTCACTGCATTTGATTGGAGGCCAACTTTTCAAGTATAATCCAGAAAATGTATTCTGATCACTTTCCGTTTAACTATAAACTAAACTACACAAGGATCCTTAGTAGCGAACCTTTAAATCCTTTAATTTGTAGGCATTGGTAATCGTTCAACAGTTTTATCAGTATAAGAACTCATTGAGCTTTTATTATTTAAAATTAATGTCAATGCTGTACTAAATTGTATATATACTGGATAGGAATGTGGCAAATATATCTTTTTCTTAAAATAAGTTGCACTAATCTGTCCAAGAAACTCTCCATTCTTTTCATATTGTTCTCCTGATAAATACATTTACTTGTTCATCTAAAATAAACTTCCTGATAATGAATTCATTACTTTTAGTATTGGATTGTTGCTAAATTGCAATAATAACTAAAGAATTGGCGTTTGTTGCACAAGTATACCAATTCGTTGAACTTCTGTTAGGTTCCCATCTGCAATCGTCAAAATAATAAAGAAAAAGAAAAAAGTTTTAGTGGCTCATCAAAATGTTAACAATACACTCTGTTCTAGTCTAGCAAGTTTCATATCTGTCATTTCTTTTTCTTATTCTTGTTCTTTCCTGGAGAGGCGGAGGGAGGTGAAAGTTTGTATGGGGTGTGAAGATTTCTTGTCAGATAAGACTGCATTGAAACAATCAATTAGGTATTAAAAAGCATAGAAAAACTTTTGATGGATTTTATGTGAAAGAATTCAGCTGAAGTGATTAAGACTAATTTCCTAAATCAATTTTGGGAACAATTTCTGTGGCTTTACTGACTATGTCCTCATTAAGTATGTCATGCTTAAAATTGATGGAGTATCTCTTTTAGCTGTGGAAAAAGTGTACTGTTTAGTGGCCTATAAAAAACATCGAGAAGCGATCTTTTGTTGATCTGCTGTATAGCTGATCTGTGCAGATTTTTTATTTGTGTGGTTTTGTTAGTGCATGCACTAATGAGTGATGGGGTCATCCGTTGCAAATACAATGACAGTTGCATGTTTTTTGGTTAAAAACAATAAGTCTTCTTGCTCATGTTAAAATTTTATTTTGGCATCCTAAGATGAAGATTTCAACGAGACCTTGTACAGATGTCTCCAGATTGAACTTAAGATATGCTTTATCAAGGTAGAATAAGTTCCACGTTCCGTTTTAAGTTTAGCTCAGAAAGTATTATTCTTCCATACTGTGCACATTTAAAATAAAAAATAATTGGGCAAAAAACCGCAGTGGTTCTCTAATTTTTAACTTTGCACAGTTTTAGTCCTCCAACTAATAATTGGGCAAATGTAGTCTTCCAATTAAAAAAATTGTATATTTCTAGTCCATCCGTCCAATGTGGCTATTAAGATGGATGGGAGAGACATCACGGACTACTCTCATAACATTTGTTGGGGGCAATCTCGTTAGCACAGCAGAGGGACTTACCTTAAAAATCTCCTTCTTCTTCATTTTCACTCCAATTGACATCTGAAGCTTGTAGGACTGGTAGCAGTAGATTCTTGGTCTCAATTGAGCCGAAAATGAGGAGATTGAACACTCCAACTCTCCCTGTGTGCCCCTGCGGTAAATCGACAAAGATGGTGACTTCGTGGACATCTCAAAATCCTGGCAGGAGGTATGCAGTATGCGCAGTGGGGGTTGCGAGTTTTGGGATTGGATCGACGAGGAAATGTGTCGGTCAATTGAGGTGATACCCGGTCTTCTAAGAAGGGTGAATGCAACTGAACAACAAAGGGATGAATTGCAAACTGTACTGACCAAATTGGAGTCAAAAGCTACAAAGTTGAAGGTGAAAGTGAAGGACATGGAACACGAATTGGCGAGGCAAAAACATATTAGGAAGTGGCTTGTAAGACTATTGGTACTCTCTTGGGTTTTAATCTTATTAATGGTGGTTTGGCCTCGAGATGAAAGATGGACTTCTGGAAGAAGCTCTATGAAAATTGTGTTGATGTGAAAATTGTATCTATCAAGATGCTAATGGAGTAATCTGATTTTAAGATAATGTAAAAATTGTATTAGCCTTTTGTAGTGTTAGCTAGGCTAACAAATCTGTAGTTGAATTGTACTCTATGCTTTTGGAAGAATGGAAATAATAGAATGAAGTTTGATCTGAACTGGTATAGCTGTGAAATTGTTATGGCAGGTTGGCAGTCACACATGAAGACGACAGTAGAATGGGAACAATTGAATGAATGCTAAAAATAATAGAAAAATCAGAATAAAACAAAATGTCCTGTTATATTCATTCAGTGGATAAAAGCTAACATAGCAGTCCAAAGGGATACAATAGTCAAACTTGACCATTAACAATTAGTAGACAAAAAACTAATCCAGCTACACAAAAGCAGTTGGACAAAAAATCATTACTTGGTCAAAAGTTGTCTATTACAAAAGACATTTTCCAGTCAAAAGAGATCCAACAATAAAGTACTGCTAGGTATAGCAAAAACAGACTACTTCAGTGGGTGTTGTTGGATTAAGCTGCATTCTATCCTCTTGTACCTCCAGTTCCCCTTCCTCTACTAGCTCTTCCTCTGCCCCTGCCACTCCATTTTTCCTTCCAATTCCCAATAGTGAAGGGAGGTTGCTTGCCCAAATATGCGTAATTCAGATTGATAAATTCTTTATTAGCATTTGTTAAAGGCTGTTTTGTTGAATTTTTCTGCTTCTGCCTCTTAGGAGGTAGTTGCTGTGTTAAGGGAGCGCTATAAGAGGCCTGCTGTTCTTGAAGATTAGCGCCATGCTAGAATGATGATTGGTGGTCTTGCTGATCCACTTGCTGTTGTTGTGTCTCATTCTAATGCTTATGTTGGTGTACAGATTCAAATCCCGAACGTTGATGATCATATGTCTCGTGAACTTGAGGAGATTGGCGCTGCACTTTTTTTTTTTTGTTCCTTTGCTGGTCCTTTCTAACTTGTCAATGACAGCAAATAGTAAAAAGTAAGATTTTAAACTGCCTTTTCATGTATACCACAATTTCTTAATACTTAAAGTCTGCCTTTTAAATGGTCTCGCAAAGGATTTTGGACTTTTAGGAGGCAATGCACCCTGTGGAGTATATACATCAATATCAGAACCCTCTTCTACTTGATTAGATTGAGTAGACCCTTCTTTGCAGTATGTAGTTGCATTGTGACCTGCCTTCCCACACTTTCTACAATGTACAACAATTCCCCTTCTCAGTTTTCTACCATGATTTTTTCCTTCTGTGATGTCTCTTCTTCGAGCCTTTCTTGGCTTCCCAGGTTGAGCAACAGTGAGTGGTGGGTCCAATATAGGTATGGTGGATGGGAGCCATAGAATTTCATCACTAATTGGTTGGAGAACATTACAATATATGTTAAAAAATAGATCTGTACTGTAGCAACCTTCAACTTCGTTATAAGGATTTCCATTATTTCTGGGAGTGGCAATTTTCGACATGACTTGCAAACACGACACGAATCTAACACGAAATTAATGGATTTGGGTTGAGATTTCAGAGGTTCGGATCAGAATCGGGTCGAACCCGATGAACCTGAAAAGAAAACAGGTCGATTTCGGGTCAACCTATGGGTGACCCGATATAATCCGTTTACGAATTAAAAATAATTTAATAAACATAAAAATTATTTTATCTGACTAAACTAAGTTATTCTTTTTTCTCAAAGGCATTAATTATTTAATCCTAAATGAATTTATTTAATTTGTGTGAAATTGAAATTATTATATTTGGACAAATAATATATCATATTATTCTTTATTTTTATACTGTTTTAATTTATTTTATATTTTATTTGGGATAAAACACTTTTACGGTGTTTAATTTATTTTAGATTTGTTTAGAATTATTTATTTAAATTTTATTACTTGATTATGTAATTAGTTTTGTGAGAAATTGATTTTATTAAAAATTACAGTGATAAATTAATAAATTAAAATTAAGTTTCGGATCATTTCGAGTCGACTTGGCAGCCCGAAATTTTCGGATTCGTGTCAGGTATCCTGACCCGTTTCGAGTTGGCGGGTCAGGTTTGAGTCAGCGGATTTTCTGTTATACCCGGATCTCAACCCAATCCGTCAACCTGAATTTGACCCGATTGCCACCCCTAATTATTCCTATGAATTGCTGCTATTGCATGACAACAAGGAATTTCACTTATGGCCCACAATTTGCACGTGCAATGTCTTTTTTTTAGGTCTACAGCATATTGGTCTCCTTTAGGGCCCTTTACTTGATAACCAACAGCAGCATTTCAAATAGGATTCAAGTGAATTGAACGCTTCACCCTTTCATCAACAATTTTGATGGGCAGTGGTCCAATAGAACCCTTACATTTCTCCATGGCTACCTTTCTTTGTTGAATCCTATCCATAATATACTCTCTGATAGTCTCCAGTAGTGAAATTACAGGCTGATCTCTGGCTTCAAGGATATGAGCATTGAAAGATTCACAAAGGTTATTGATCAGCATATCACATTTGGTATGAGTTGGAAAAAATGCCTTGCACCAATGCCGAGGATGACGTGCCTTTTTCACCAACTGTGTGCTTCCTTGTCATAAGTCTCCAGATTTGCCATTGCCTCATTGAAGTGCTCAGGTGTAGTACAGTATGCAATATTCCAGAATCTCTCATTCAACACCTCTCCTGGATGTTTTTTTTTTTAATTTCTATATAAATGCTGCACACAATATCGGTGCTCACAGTTTGGAAGCACCTCAGCTAATGCTCTATCAAGTCCCTGCAATATAAAAAGAAAAGTAGACATTTGTCTTGACGATAGAAACCAGATTACAATGATATCTACAATAATTATAGTGCATAACCTTTTGTTGATCAGAGATAAAAGTGTAGTGGTATTGGTTTTGTAATTCCAAATCCTCACTCAACAACTTCAGAAACAATGTCCATTGTTCCGTGGCTTCTTTCTCCACAATTGCCCATGCAATTGGCCAATAACCATTGTTAGAGTCCACTCCAAGAGCAGTAAGTAATTGTCCTGGATAAGTGCCTTTCAGATGGCATCCATCTAAACCTATAATAGGGCCTACAACCATCCTTAAAGCCTTGCTTAAGTGGCCCAAGGCAGCAGTATAGTCACATGAATCTTGGATTAACTGTGGGGTAAACATGACCTCCATAGTACTTCCCCCATGTGTCTTCTTTATCTCATTACAATATTCCCAAATCTTCTTGTATTGTGCCTCTGCAGACCCCTTAATAAGCTGTATAGCCTTGGCTCTTGCTTTTCTACCCACCTATTTAGAAATCTCAACCTCATAGTCCTCATGAACAGTTTGCCTAAGCTCCCTAACGAGTATTTTTGTGTTAGACCTGATTCTCTCCATATACCTATTGGATAGCCACGTAGAAGTCATGTTTTTATTCTTCCAAGCGTGATTGCAATTCTCATGCATATCATGCATTGTTTTTACCTCCAAATCTGATGTACCAAGTGCCATCTCAATTGATGCAAAGACAAACCAAGGACATGGTCTCTACAAACAACCCTCACCCTTTTGATATCATTTTTGCATGTCCAGACTGGTTTACCTTTTTTGATACCATATTCGGTCACTGCTGCCTTGAATTGTTGCCTTGACTCAAATTTCATCCCCAATTCAAACTTGGGGTCTATCATGAATTTATCCCATACAAATCTCTTGTATCTCCCTTCAAACTGGTTCTCATCTTCATCTGATGAACTGTAATCACTGCTTCAGTGATCCGCTACATAGTCTTCATCCAATGCATTTGTCAGCCTCTCAGGATATGGACCTTCACCTACAGGTTTCTCTCTTCTTCTCCTCACTTGTTTCTTCCTTAATTTTGGATGCTATGGTTGCTGATTGTTGGTTTTCTGCTGAACTGAGGGCTGTTGGGGTTGTTGCTCAGCTCCTACTTGGTTTTTAGACTGCTGATGCTTGTTTCTAGCATGCAAAGACCTCTCAGATGTATTATGCTGCTGTTCACCTCTTGTATCCAGTTGCTGTTGGTCTCCTTCTCTAATGAGGTTATAAAGAAGCTGTTCATCTGCACAATAATCAATATCCCAAGGAAACCTCTCTACTTTAGCATATGATTCAGATGCAACTTCACCATCAATATCTCCCATTGTCGTTGCAGGCCCCTCATGTTTAGTGCCCTGTTGATTCCTTGGATTTTCAACAGTTGCTCCATTCTCCCTTAATGGTTGTGCTGAAGTACTTGTGTCATTGTCAACAGTTTGCCAAGTTGACTATGATGCCCCTACTCCACTACGTACCATCTGTAAACAAGGTTCCGCAACCACCCTACCTTCATCATCTAATTCTTCGATTACCAAAACCATATTTTTTCTGCTCTACTGAATTACCCCTACCAGCCTCCATCAAAATTTGATCAATTTCTTCAATTGTTAAGTTGTTACAGTAAACCTCCATCACTTTATATTCATAAGCCAAGGTACAAAATTTGTTTACATCAGCATCTATACACAATTCCCTTAACCCACTGTTAAGATTTTTAGTTGGTTCAAGATAGTAATACATTATGGTTTCCTGATATGACCTAGCTCCTCTACCATTTCATTCAGTTCATGAATTGACATCCGTTCACAATCACATAAGTCTACATGGTCCACATCACCACCAACATAACTTATGTAACTTTCCCAACGAATCTTTCCCCTGTGATGCACTTATAGTAAACCATTCAGATCTTGCATCTATATTAACAATTATGAGTAATCATTAATTAATTTGGTAACTAATTAATTAACTCATTAATTTTGTATAAAAGACCTTAATCCCAAACCTAGGTCAATAGGCACAATTAAAATAATATATACTAAACTAATCAACAATAGAAATTAAATAATTAGGCTAGCTCAACAGGACAAAGTAGTCATGGCCCAGTAAATTTTATTAATATGCTTCAGGACCACTGGTGCTTATTTATAGACAGTGAACCCATATATGGGACCACTTTCCTCCCATATTTGAGACAAAACACCCTCACATTCAACCCCACAACCAAAATAAAACTTCCTATGTACTTAGCAATCACTGTAACACAAATAACCATCAATTGTTGCTCATTTTTGCAGAACTTTGTACAGTTTAAGTGCACATACCGTATACTAACTGGG